ATTATATCAGCCTTACTTCTATACTGACTAATATGATATATTTCTCTTGCTGGCATACTGCTATCAGTTTTCAGTTGAAAAAGGTAACCATGGCAAAAAAAATAATAAAATAAAATGAGAGGGGCATTTTGCGGGGCATTTTCCCCAGTAAAACATGACTAGAATATTCTCACATTTCTAAATTGAAATTCCTCAGCAAAATTATAACCAGGTACTCAGTAATATGCACAAAATCTATGGGATTTCATGTATACAATGTTCAGGAAAAAAGCAAAACAAATTTTGCTTTTGTGTTACAAATCATTATAGAGGAAGCTAACACCAAAAATCAGCTCAATCTTGTGATGATCTTGAGGAGCCTGGAGTCATATAGCACTGGAAGAAGGGCTGAGGAATCAGGAGGATAAGGGGTGGATGCTAGCAAACTGAATTTAGTCCTTATGTCATCTGGTTGTTTAAGACTGTGAATTGGTGAAATTATAAGTAAGTTATAACATCCAGGAATTAAAATAAATCTCAGAAACTACCTCTACTTTGTATAAAAATGTTTCATCTCTTTCATCCCATTCTTGAGAGAATTAACCTCACTGGATAAACCTGGAAGCACTAAGTCAATTTAATCTTCATAAAAAATTACATTCTAGGACTGCACATCCTGCATATGTACCCCAGAACTTAAAATAAAAGTTGAAAAGTAAAAAAAAAAGAATAAATGCTAATTTTCTTTTACTTTTTTTAAAGGGCATTTTATTAAAATATGTTCCAAATGAACTGCTTTCAGCAATGCTCAATTGTGTTTTTACACTAAATATTTAAGGAGAAATAGTTTGGGGAGAGGAGAAGATATCTCAGAAAATTGGCATACATTTGACAAATCAGTTTGAATCATATTCCGTATCACAAATAATGGATCAAGTTTCACACTTGCTATGTGTGTCTTTTTCATCTAAAGTCCTCATGATTCTATAAAATACCTGCAGATACCACAGGAGACCTCTTTTCCACTAAGAAAAATAAGCTGAGTGTGAAACCTGCCATATCTATCTACACCATGTGTTTATTATTTAAAAGGTTTTATAAAGTTAAATGAGAAAATAGATTAACAACATGATTTTTATTGCTGATTTCTGAACACCTCAGTCTCATAACCCTAGAAAGGTTTGTACCCATATCATAAGAGGTGATAACCTTAAATTTTATGTGTAAACTTTTTGTGAATTTAATGCACTTTCATATCCTTGTCATCTTTAATCACTGATGGTCAAGTCCTCATGTCATCTGCTCTCTCCATTACTTTCATTCCTATTCTGATGATCTAATTCTTCTCACCAAATCTATCTTACTATCCCACTCAACTTTTTCCTCTATGTATTCTGCAATGTCTGACCAATGATAATTTAATTCTCATGCATCCTCAACTCCTTCTATCCATAGTTTATCAAAATTGAAGGCTGATTAACTCCCAAGGATAATGCTTACTCAGGAAGCCCTTCAAGAAGTGGAAAATGATCAATGATCATTTTCCCAGTATATTAAGGCTACCTCTCATCACCATGGCTTATTCTAGATCAATGTTCTTCTGCTCTCTCAAACAATACAAAACAAGTCTTTTCTCCAGTCTCATGTCATCCATCTATTTTCTGCCATTCTTTTTCTCGATCCTTCTAGCTAGTTTCTTTTTCACTGTTCCACCCTAAATCCTGTCATCATTCTACATAATTTCAGGTCACATGGACTGACCAGCACAATGTTCTTATAATACTTTGGTTTCTTTGACACCTATAAGTTTCAATTGAACTTTAGTTATCAGTACTTATATTAGTAATGGAGTAAATTCTGTCAACTCTTAAAATGTTTATTACATTAAACTCAAGATTTCACATTCTAACCACATCCACAATTGAAATCCTTCATGTTTCTTGTTCTCCCACTCCTAGCACATTATTTTTGGTCTCATTTTACCTACCGGTACCTTAATTTCTCCATTTCTCTCTATACCTCTCTAATATTTTCAGGAAAGGAGTGAGGAATTAAGAATTGTAGTGTAATCATAGTAAGCCTGAGAAATTCTTGGTAAAAATCCAAGTAAAGATATACATAGACAGTTCAGAGCTCACAGGATAAATCTGGGCTGGAGACATAATTTGTGAATATTCAGCACAGGGATGCCATTTAAAGACATAAGTCTGGATTAGATCAACAGGAAGAAGTTGATAGAAAAGATGGGTTTGGAAGGAATATTGAAATACTTCAATATGTATAAATTTGGTGGAGGAAATGTCAGCAAGGAAGTCTGAAAAGAAATGAATAGTAGGCTGGGAAGAAACCAGAGGGGTATGCATTATCATGGAAGTTGAGCAAAGAGAGTGTTTCAAGAAGAATACAATGTATGGTGTGGAATGCCTTCTGTGATAGAATTAGGCAACATGGAAACCATTAGTAAAAAAACCATTTTGGTAAAATGTAAAGCTGGAAACCAGATTGGAGTGAGAAAAACAGTGAATAAAAGGTGAGGAATCTGAGCTATGATGGAGAACAAGAAAATAGTGAAGGAGATGGTAGATAAGCGGAGTTTTTGTTTATTTTCTTTATGCTTGTTTTTCTTTTTCTTAAATGATGGGCTATACAAAGTATGTTTCAATATGTATATGTTTAAATGTTTTCGTGGAATGTGAATAATCTAGTGGTGAAAGAAAGATTTATCATGCAGTAGAGAGAGGAAAAACAAAAGAGCAAAGTTGTTTAGAAATCATTTTAGGATGAAACTCCCCAGTACACAGGTAGAGAGGTTTTGGCTTTTCTGGGAAGGAGGCAAGTTTCTACACTGAATTACGAGGGCCAGAAATGCAAATTGTTTTTTCCAAATTGCTACTGAGAATAAAGAAGAATTCACTCTAATGGGGAATCTTAGAACAAAGTATAAGGCAGGTATCAACTTGGAGGGCTGAGAAAAGTGGTAATGTGAGTTTGGAGAAAAGTGATATAAATAATAAATTCAGAGAGGGAGAAAGAAAAATTGTTGAAGGAAGATGTACAATTCTGGCATTAATCAGGGTCCAAAGGAGCTTATGACTGTGAATTGAAGTGATACCAGTCATGCTGATTGTATGTTTTTCTGTGCACCTCCTCCTGCCCCCAGCACTATTTAGCTACTTCTACATAGGCAAGGCAAGGGAGTAGGGGGCATAGTGAAGCAAGCACAATGAAGGGGAAGAGAGGAAGGGATTTGTGGGTGATTATAATTATGGCCTGTGGAAGTAAAGACAGATGACTAGCATAGCTAGACATAACACTCACCTTATCCTCTTCCCATTTGAAAATTCTTTTTATTTGCAGTTTTAGTCTGGCACTCTTTCTTACTGTTTTAGGAATCTTCTTATGATTTTAAGACTTATTTCTTCAACACAGCAAACTTCCTCGAGGAAAGGGTATCACCTCCTATTTCACTTTTGTTTCATCCTAACAATAGGCATACTGAAGGTGCTCAATAAAGTATACTAAAGCAGTGAATTGGGGGTTGTTATGGGATCTGAACTCCGTCAGAAGTTTTACATTGAAATTATTTATCCTACTGCCAGAAACTTATCCCAAGAAATATTTGTTTAGTGTGAGTATTTACAGATACAGTACAGTAATTTTAGTGGGATTTTAATTTAGGCTTCATGTAGTATTCCCAATCCTTCTGTTAATTGCACTGATTACATCCTCTGGCTGATTACACTGAAAATTGCTATCCATGCCTCAGGTCAGGCAATGAGAAAGTTGTGGGTTGAGTTGTGAGGGAGGATAAATCGGTGTAAATTGAAGTAACAAGCAACTGAAAATAAAGGCAGGGGATGTTTGGAGAGAGTGTGCTGATTAGTTACCATGCTGAGCATTTTGCCTTCAACAAAATCTAACTCTGTGGGCAGACTGAAAGACTAAACTGCTGACTTATTGTGATATCACATTGGCCCTTGAAGTAAAGTTACCAACTCTCTAAATGTTATTTTGTTTTATTTTTACTTTAGCTAAGGAACACACCTATTAATTTATCCATAAAGAGTGTTTCTCTCTGCAGTAGCTAGTCTCGACTTATTGTTTAAATTGTCAAAGTGTGAGTCACTTAACTTTAATCTGACCTTGCATGTACAGTGGAATCTTCTATGTGCTAAGTAGCAGTACAGTGTCATCCTTAAGACTTTGGGGTTTAGAGCAAGTCCCATTTAGTCTTGAGTTTTAACTTATTTGAGTATTATCTTGAGTTTTGAGTCTTATCTTATCACTAGGAAGAAGAAAGCTGGAAGAAGAGATAAGAAACCAATAGTCAAAGCAAGGGTTTTTGTAGGGCTGGTATGTTCTTCCAAATATAAGAGCCTTGCATAAAGTCTGTAAATGGAAGAATGAAAAAAAGAGAAGATGGATCATTTAAGCATATCTGTATTGAGCTGATGGCATATACTGAAAGTCTCTTTCAAGCCATGTATTTCTGTTTTGGGCTCTGTTCTATTTGGTATTTTTAGCGGTGACTTGGATAACAAAGCACAGGGCCTGCTTGTCAAATTTTCAAAAGTCTAATTTGTGAGGGATATCAGATACTCTGAATAACAAAATAAAAATTCAAGACTGTCAGCTTAAAAAGTGAGCTAAAGGTAACAAGCTGAAAATCAATGGGAATAAATGTGAAGTCCCACACTTAGATGAAAACATCCATTGCACAAGACAGGTTGGGGGAAATGGAACTTAATTGCAGTTTATGTAAAAACAAGCATTGATCGTTGGCACAATTTATGACAGAAAGCAAAGAGATCTTATACTTGAGTTAATAGAAATATAGCCTCCAGATGGTCGGAGGTAAAAATCCAAATGTACTCTGTACTGATTAGATTACATCTGGAGTCTTATATTTAGAGTTAGCCAATATATTTTCAAAGAGTCATTGAAAACTAGATGGTAATCAGGTGGTAGAAACATTTGTACACCACCATAGGACCTGATTAAGCTGGGAGAAGAAGAGCTAGTTCGTGAGTACACAATAGTCATCATTTTATTTGAAGGTTTTCCACATGGAAGTAAAATTAAACTTGTCTCCAAAGGCCAAAACTTTCTTCATAAATTACACTTAAATTTGGGGCCAAATTTAAGGAACTGTTTTCCAGCAATTAAATCTACTCAAGGATTAAAACGGTTTTCTGAAACAGGAAACATCCTGACAGAACAGAGGCCAGAAAAGAGTCTGGCAAGAAGGACATAAAGCAAACACTGGCATTCATTGAGGGTTTGGCCTGTATGTAGATGATCTCTAAGGTCCCTTTTAACCCTGTGGCTCTACAAGAGGGAACTGGATTTCGAAAGCTGAATCTTTATAGTGAAAACGTGTTCCTTAGTGTTAGCTGTCCAGGCTGATGAGTCGTGCACATAGGCAGCGTTTTCTTTTGATTAGCTCATCCTTGTCTGATGGACAGGTGTTGTTTCCAGTGAAGCTGGCTCAGCTTTCTTTGTTTTAGTTACTTTGAAGCAGAAGGATTAATCCCCTCTGGAGATATTTGCTTGTTTTTGCCGTCAGAGCAGTCACACTTTTCCCTTTGTATCTCTTAGCTTGTTTTTTGAAGTTTAGCTTCACAGAGAAATAGGCCTCATGTTTCCTTGGTGATTCACTGAGTCTAGATAGTCCCTCCTGCGCCTCCCCAAACTGCCACTGATGGTTTCTTCATCCTGGTTTGCATTTTGGCCGCCACAAAGAAGGATAAAACACCGACCACTCTTTGGGCCAAAACGTAACAATTTCTTGCAAAAAGTATCTCTCAGAGGTCAAAACAGGCACAGGCCAAAGCCCTTTCTTTCATCTTTTCCCCCACCTTTATTTGAGGTGCCTTCTGTATGAGAAAATAAAGAAATGTTAATATAAGTTTATATTTTAGAAATCAATGCTTTCATCAGAAATAAATAGAGAAACTCTATATTAACCCACTTTGTAAAAGCATTAATAGTTTACATGTAAGGCCTTTGCCATTTTTGAGTCATGACAAATTGCCCCTTCTGGCCTTTCTTCCACAGGGCACTTTTTTTCAAAATAGGATTATTGTAAAGGCATGAACTTAATAACACATTTATAAAAATTGAACTTGAATTAAATGGAGTAAAATATTATAAAATCTCAATGTAAATAAAACTACAAATACATATGTCGGCTTTATTACCAAAATGCATTTTGTTAATGCCATATGAAATGGATAATTTAAATCAAATGTAAATTTTTTCCTGGAAAGTATCTGGCTCAAGAGAATAAGAACATAAGGCACAGACTGAGAAAAAATATTTGCAAAAGATACATCTGATAAAGGACTATATCAAAATTATGCAAAGAACACTTAAAATTCAACAATAAGAAAACAAACTCGATTTTAAACTGGGCCAAATAACTGACACCTTACCAAGGAAAATATACATATGGCAAATAAGCATATGAAAATTTCCACATAGTATGTCATCAAGGAAATGCACATTAAAATAACAATGAGATACCACTACATATATACTAGAATTCCTAAAATCCTCAACACAGGTAATAACAAATATTGGCGAGGACGTGAAACAATAGGAACTTTCATTTACTGTTAGTGGGAATGCCAAATGATATAGCCATTTTGGAAGACAGTTTGGTATTTTCTTACAAAACTAAACATAATCTTACATGTTATCCATCAGTTATACTCTTTGCTATATACCCAAAGGAATAAAAAACAAAAGCATATCTACACAAATGTTTATAGCAGCTTCATTCATAATTGCCAAACATTAGAAGCAACCAAGATGTTCAGTTGGTAAATGGAGAAATCAATTGTGTTACATACAAAGGAATATTATTCAATGTTAAAAAGAAATGAGCTATCAAGCCATGAAAATGCATGGAGAAATCTTAAATGCATATTACTAGTGAAAGAAGCCAATGTGAAAAAAGCTATATGCTGTATCATTCTGACTATTGACATTCTGGAAAAGGCAAAACTATGGAAACAGTAAAAAGATCAGTGGTTGTCAAGGGTTTGGGAAGAAGCATGAATATGCAGAACACAGAGGATTTATAGGGCAGTGAAAATCCTCTGTACAATGCTGTAGTATATACATGTCATATATGTCATTTTTCAAAACCCATAGAATACACAAAACCAAGAGTCAACCCTAATGCAAACTATGGACTTTGTGTGATTATATGTCAATGCAGGTTCATCAATTGTAACAGATGTACCATTCTAGTGGGGCCCATTGATAAGAGGGGAACTATGCCCTTGTGGAGGGAGGGGCCATATAAGAAATCAGTGTATCTTCCTCTTAATTTTGCTGTGAACCTAAAAATTAAATCTTTAAAAAATAGTATGTGGCTAGTATGTAGCCATTTCTCACTGCTATGTCATATAGTTGGAATAAAAATACCCTACAGGTCTTGCTATTTGAAATGCAGTCCATGTACCAGCTTCATCAACATCATCTGGAAATGTTTCAGAAGTTCAGATTCTCAGGCTCTAACCCAGGTTTAGTATGTAAAACTGTACTTTAACAAGATCCCCAGTGATTTATATACACATTAATGGTCTTGAACTCCTGACCTCAGGTGATGAGCCCACCTCGGCCTCCCAAAGTGCTGGGATTACAGCCATGAGCCACCATGCTTGGCGTAGTCTAGCTTCTTAGCTATGCCAAAGGTATCTTTATAGCTCATAAGTGTTCCAGGACAGTTCATCATGAGTAGAAACCTTCTACAGATTTAGGCTTAAAACTCTAGTTAGAAACAACAGTGTTCATACCTGGTTTATTATCCATGTAGATCTCTATTAAATACTTAGCATAATGACAGGTGGGTGAAGGGATCAGGAGCCCGGAACCTGGCAACAAAACACAAATGACATCTCTCAGCAGACTTGAGCTCCATTATCTTAAGAATTTGTTTCAGGATATATGATAAATATCTTGCAAGGGGTGTTATATTATGTTAAGTGGGTATCAACATCTTGCGTTAGTGAATGACCTTAGGGCTGCTGTTAACAGGTGGGGAGTGGCAGCATGATGTTAATACAGCACCCAAGAAAAAGTACTTAACCAGAGAATTTAAGAAGGAATTATTTCTCTCATTGGGTCATCTATAGAATTTTGCCCTGATTACAGTTTGTGTCTAATCTGCTCCAGGAAAGAACAAGGTAACAGGTACAATGAGGTGGACTGCTAATTAAAACATAGCCTTAAAATCATTATCCATACTGTGAGTGATTACAGTTTACATTGTATTAAAATTTTAAAATCCAGAATAAGAAGAAAGGGGTTATGAACTCAGGGTTAGAGATATTTTTGTGTGTGTTTTAGAAGTAATCTTTAGCTTTTTCTTATTTAAAATGAACTCATAATGAAACACAGTCACTTTGAAAATTTGATGGTGTAATGCATGTAGAAGCACTTGGTAAACTGAAAAAGACAGCTCAAATATTATATGTCTACATACAAACAGATACTATTTATTCTCTCTCCATTCTCTCAATGCAGGTCAACCCTGATTGTAACCTAAAAGCATGAAATGCAACTCTTTCTCTCTAGGCTTCTTTTGTTATTTATCAAAATTTACAATTGATGAGAAAACGCCCCCCCCACTCCTTACCCAACTTAGCGTATCTCTCTCCTTTCTTCAATTCTGTCCTCTTGCTCTGCTTATTTCCCAGACCATTCTAAAAAGTTCCCTCTCTTCCTTTGGCATTTATATTTTTCAAATGCTTGTAGACAGTTTTCATACGCCACCTCAGTTGTTGCTTTGCCAAGCTATACAGATTTAGTCCTTTTCATCTTTCCTCATAAGTCACTGCCTCCATCTCTTTAATCATTTTTCTTGCTGTTCTCTGAATTCCATCCAATTTGTCGATATCTTTCTGGTAGAGAGGTGCCAAGAACGGAGTGTACAGTGTGGCTAAGGAGCCGTGTCCATCACTTCTCAGCCAGATGGGATGGTTGTTACTTCAGAGGACACACTGAATCTATACTGGGGGCTGAGATAAAGGAAAAGGAACCAGTAAATCTTGAGAAAGTAATTCTATAATTCATTGTCCCTAGGGATGATAAAATAAGCATTTAATTAAAAGATGTGTTTCTAGTTTTGTGACTAGCAGATGCTATTTTGGTGACAAAGGCAGAAAACTGCATCATTTAATAAGATAAGAAAACACAAGAGCATAATGCTGTAAATCAGACCCTTTCTCACATTTGGAGAAACAATTGTAAACTATGAACAATATTATCTTGAAAATGCTTTTAGTTATTTTATTCAGTATGAAAGCAGACAGGAAATTCGGATCAAATAATTTAAAACATTTAATATATTTCTTGTACCATGCTAATGCAGATAATAACCAATTCATAAAATGTGCCTCACAAAAAAAGGATAAATTCTGTAAATTTATTTTTATTTATAGTTTCCATCAAAGTTTTTTAGGTTATGTTTCAAGATTTAGGTTTAGGTTTACTTGCAGGATGAGTGACAGATTAAAGTATGAATATTTTTTATGTAGGCTTTTCACAGTTAATACTCAGAAGCAAGTATTTTCTAGTGTATTAGACTGAAGCTGAATATAGATATTTCACCAGATGCTTTATTGAAGCTGAGTTTTGTTACAGCCCTAATTTATCTTTAGTGTTTTGCTTTATGCTTATGTTTAAAGTTTTACTGTACTCATTGAACTGTGCTTGATCATTAATAATGGTAGCTATCTTTAATGAGATGCATGTCACCCTCTAGCAGGTGGTATGGTCTAATAGTCTGAGGATTGAATTATGATTCAGAAAGGAAATATTTCTTATATGGGACTACAATGTAGAATGAGAAAACTGCAAGTATCTTAAAAATGGAATATAACACTTGAATAGGAAAATGAAAAAATAAACAAATCAGGTTTCCTGAATAATAATCATGCCCTCTTAGTCCCTGAAAGGAGAAATCACAATTCACATATTGCTATTATAGAATCTAGCAGAAACTTGGTCAATAAAGTGCTGACATCTTTAGTTAAGATAACCCATCTGTTACTTTGTGCTAGAAGGAGGAGAAGAGAAATAGTTCCTACAATGCATGTATGTTTTCTAGCATTAAAGCTGCAGAGAAAATAAATATGCATGCCCTTACTTACTGAGATTCTGTTGGTCTACATACTACCAATACTTACACTGATGGTAATTCTTAGATATTGGCCTAGTCAGAGTACAAAGTTTAATTATAAATTCATATTTTCTCATTGATACCTTTATCCTAAAATTCAGGTTTTGAAAATGGGAAAGTAAAATCCAGAAATATAGGCACAATTAACAAAGCTATGTAATTGGATTCATAAGAATGAAAGTTTGGGTCTTAGCTTATCCAGCCATGTGACCTTGGGAAGCACTCTTGATTAATGCAGTTTCTTAATGGACTAATTATCTACACACTTCTAATTCCCAGGGTAGTCAGGAATATCTAAGGGGTAATAGTAAGGAAAGTGCTGTACTGAAAGGTACAATAATTCCTTATTGTTTTTCATTTTGTGGTAAAGGTAATCATGTCTCTTTACATGTCTTTCATCTTCACTCTAAGGTTTACTCCAAAAAAAAAAAAAAGCTCAGAAAAGATTCAACTCTGCAAACATATTAGTTTTGCTTGTAAGTTTCAGAGTAGTGAATGGGAAAGTAATTTGCATTGCATGAAAAGTAGTACTTACATTTATACTTTTCTTTCATATCTGTTTTATAAATTTAGAGTTTTAAAATTTTAGTAGAGAAATAAGTGATAGAAAATTATTCTAGTCCCAGCTGAGACTCTTCTATCTCATTATATGGCTGTACCCTAAGTGCATGGTTAGCATCCCTTTTCTGGTCACTTCCCCCTAATCTATTTGGTATAAGAAGGGGTTTATACCTGCTCCTCTCCCACATCTTCATCTTGACTCTCTCTTCTGCAGGGCATTTTCTCTCCTCCATCATTCTTTGTGTTTCCATGGACCACTGAACACTTGTTGCTGGTACACCAGGGAGGTTACGGTGGCAGACCCCTTTCAGTACAACTGAGACCTTCCAAATGGCCTTTGCAGAGAGGGAGTAGACAGAATGGAGGGCAGGTCCTCTTTCATCTTACATTTGTGGGAATTGTAATCCAAAATTTATGTGGGCGTATATACGATACCACTGAAATCTTGGGAAACTATTTTAAAATTTGAAATTTGTGGGAAATTTGTATTTGTATTCTAAGTGTTCCTTGTTTAAGAGAAATGTGCTCATGGTTCGAGTTTGCTTGAGCATGACCTGTGGGTATAGCAATTTTAACATTGCTCTTTTCTTCCTTGATCTCTCCACCATTAGCAGAGGCCCTTCTTGTCTAAACCACTGTCAAACTTATCTCTACCTACATTTTAGGACACATTATTCTCTACCTACAGAAACTGATCTTATCATCTTCCTACCTCTAGCAAGATATATCTCCATGTCCTAAGTCTAGAATAATCTGGAATCTGTTCCCAGAGGAAAAGCTCAGGGTGGACTTTGGTATTCCTTGTGTAACAGAACAATCTAGGGTGTCATAGGAACATCGTTTGTGATTCCTGTGAGGTCACAAATGATTTCATCAATATGCGTCTTTTGAAGGGGGCGTTTTTACTGGTTAATTGCTAAATCACATACATAGAAGCACACACACACAGATCCACATGCTGCCTGCTCAAGAAGGAAACACTAATTCTCAGAGGCAGATCTTTCTAAATAAGAGTTCACAAACTAGTAATCCACTAGCCAAATTCAGCTCGCATATATATTTTATTTGGCCCATACAGTTTTGTTTATTTTTAGAAATTGCACCAACACTAAAAACGGATGCATTTGATATAAAAATCCACATTTCTAGCTTTTCTCAAAAATATAATAAGATCTAGATCCACTAGACCTATAATTATTCTTGAGAAAATTTGGCTAAGCTGAGTAGGGGCTGCCTTCTATAGGCAGTGTGTGTGGTCTTCATTCAGCCATGGTATGTTACTGTCCCAACATGGAAGCCATGCTAGTTATTAGTCTTCACTGCGTTGATTTTCTTATCCATAAGAAAAAAAAAAAAATCCATTTCTGCTTTCAGAATCCATGATTCTGAGCTGTGGAAAATCAGTTCAATGTTCTAATTTTTTGCTAAGCCTGTTTAGTGGCAGTAACCAAGTTAAAATTTGTTATATTTTCATCCATAACAAACCTGCATTTTTGGACCACAAAGTGAAAATAATAAAGAAGGAATAAAACTGTAAAAATCCACCTGATCAAAATAATAATTATTATTATTAACAAGGGGTAAAAATGTAGAAAGACATATTTATTGGATGGATGACCATCACTGAAAAAAAAAAGTTAACCCGCCATGTGCTAAAGCAAGAACAAAGCATATTCCATTTTTTCCAATTCAGAATGCCTTGAGTAGATTCTACATATAAGTAATCATGGACAAATTTTAAATTATACAAATGATGTTTGATTACTTGAATAAAGAGAAAACAAAACAGACTTTATGTTTTCTCAATTCTTAAGATGTAAGTTTCCTAATTGTGGTTGGGGGAGTAGGAATTAGAAAATATTAGAGATGGAATGACTCTTGCTAACATTTAACTTCTCCCACATCCCAACATTTACTAATGAAGAAACTGAAACTGTCCATAGTAACACAATTCATCTATTGCAAGGACTAGAAAACAGGATTTTAGGTTTACAGATAGTGCTGCCTTTGATCATTAGAAATTATTATAAATCAACACATGGAATTGGCATTGATCTTTTATGTTCGCAGTCTGCAAGATGTGCCTTTATTATTTTTCAATAAGTCTTAAGGCAGTCATTGGGCAGGGAGGATGGTCCTGCTATGGAATAGGGAGAAACAAATCAATATAGTTTTCATTTTTATAGAATGCTTCACCTCTATAGCTATTAGACCATGAGACTTTATGAAATAAGTTTAGCCACTGCTCTTTTTACCAACATAGTAGAGAGAACACAGCCCTGGTAGTGAAGGTCAACAACTCTGATTTATGAGCTGGCTCTACCTAGTATTTAATTTTAAGACTATGACCAGGAAATTTAATCTTTCTGAACCTCAGCTTCCTTATCAGTGTAGTGAAGATAATGCTACTCAGCTTGCGGACTATTCACTTCTTCATTGAAGAAGTGCATATTAAACCCCTACTATGTGCTAGACGTTGTTCTTGGTGCTAGTGGAGAGCCAGAAAACAAATGCTGTACCTTACAGAAGGCAAGGTAGTTGTAAGGATTGAAAGAATCATCTGCAGTGGTTTCTTACACACAGGGCATGTTCAGTAATGTTCATTGTTCATTTTCTCTCTGATTCTTTTCCAAAACCACAACCTAAAATCAGGAGAATCTTTGCTCCTAAGTTTCAGTATAGATTGAGAAAATAAAGCATATAAATGGCTAAGAATAGAACTCTGTAAATTTTAAATAGCCAACCAAGATCCAATTTTTGATCTTTGTGCCCTGCGTGAAAGAGGTAGGTTATGTAAAACAAGAACAAGTGCACAAGCACCTCCAATCATACACTTTCCCACGAAAACATGCACAATCTATTCTTTGTCAAATGTAGAAGCAACTCCTGCAGTACTTGTATTTCAGAATTTTTCTATGGCTCTTATAGCAAATTCATTGGCATTTTACTTTGTCTTTGTTTCCGCCAAAAAAATTATAAGGCAGAGTAAGATTCCCATTCCTCTAAGTTTTTATACACTAGGATTGGGAGTGGACATGGGTGATTAATCAAGAAAAAATTCTCATATCTTCTTTTGATCATCATCTCTGAAAGAGAAAGGAGAAATTAAACAGAATTAGTCTGCTGTGAGGAGATCTTGAAAGCATTCAGGAAGGCTAACAAGAGAATCGCTTTTTTTTTCCTCTAAAGGGAATGATCTGTTGGTAATTGAAGTAAGGAGTGAAAGTAAACACTGTACTAGGCCTCTTATAGGTGTTTTCATTAATTCTTACAACACATAATCCAATAATATGAAATATAAATAATAGAACATTGTCCAAAAACACCCCACACAATTTAAGTATAGGTTTGAATTATGTTTATGTTACCTCTGATTAGGAAGCCCATGTTTTTCCACTGCATCATAAGTGACATTCATCACATTCCCTTAGCCATTGTCATATGTGTGTGACACTGTTTGTCTGAGCTTTGTTTCATTTCAATCCAAAGTATACTTTCTTTGGTGTTATGTACAGCTATTTAAATAGTGACTTCTCCCTATTATAGGATCATGGACTAATGAAAAATACATCCATTTCAGACCTGCTAATAACTGGCTGCATGGCATGGGCTGAACAAGTCACTTGATTTCTCTGGGCCTCTGTTTCCTCACCTGTAAAATGGGATGAGGTCAGACTAGGCTATCTATAATACCCACGTAGCTCAGCAAAGGCAGTTCCTCAAATGTGTGTGTGTGTGTGTATTTAAATAAGTTTTTGAAACTACCTGATTGTCTACTCTTTTATAATAACACTGGAAATATATTGAATTGTCACAAAATTAGGGTTCTATCCCCTCCTGAGAGAAATATATTTGCTATTAATTCTAAAATACCCCCCTACATGCTTGTCATTACCCCAGGCAAATGATGGAAGAGAAAACAGGAACAGAAAACGGTGCCTGCGGTTATGCATCTCTTTTTTCAGAACACTGGTTCCTAAATTAATAGAAGGCTGCCTGTTCCCCCAGCATCTTCTGTCTGTGTCCTCCCCTCCCTTTCATCAGTAATCTTACCTCTTCTCAGCTAGCTTTTTGCTAACCCAGGGTAAATTAGTTTTGAAAAAACGTGATACTATACTTTATATTTTTATATTGTAACAGTAGCAATTAACTTTCAATTGTTTTCAGCTTGTAGCAGAAGTGAGTTTTTGTAGGGGAGAAGAAGGAGGTAATTTCAGGGAATTCAAGCATTTGGAGAAGCCCACATCTTATAGGTGACAGTAACAAACATTTACAGATTTAAAGAATGTAAAGCCCCAATAGAATGTCTGGCAAATAGTAGGAGTTTAACAAATTGCATCCTATTATTCTTACTTCACAAACCAGCCTTGCATGTTTTATAATTTACTCAGATCCTTGGAAAACAGCTTCTTCTTTAAAACCTCCATGAAGTCGGCTGGGTGCAGTGGCTCACACCTGTAATCCCAGAACTTCGGGAGGCTGAGGCGGGTGGGTCACTCGAGGTCAGGAGTTTGAGATCAGCCTGGCCAACATGGCAAAACCCTGTGGTGGTGGTCACCCGTAGTCCCAGCTACTTGGGAGGCTGAGACAGGAGAATCGCTTGAACCCAGGAGACGGAGGTTGAGGTGAGCCGAGATCACGCCACTGCACTCCAGCCTGGGCAGCAGAGTGAGACTCCATCTCATTAAAACAAAGAAACAAACAAAACCTCCATGAAGTCCTTGAAACCTGGAACACTGTTTTATAATTCAACCTAATGTATTAGTTGTACAGATAAACCATTTTCTGTTGCCTTTTCTTTTATCTTTCCCTGGATTTTGCTACTCCCTTATTTTATTCTTCATTCCTGTTTGTTCTCTCATTCCTTCTTTTGACTTTGTTCCTTTTACATCGGCAATAGAATTGCTATTTCCCAATATCCTTATATCCAGCCCACCTCACTTGTGGCCATGAGGTAAAGTATATTATCTGCCTTGGGAGAAAGCCTACCAATGTGCAGAAACTCCATACCTGAGGCGAGGTGAGGATTTAATACCTTTTCTCATCTCTTCTTCCCCAGTGCCCCTCCTCTGTTTTCTTTTGTATCAAAGTACTAAGACTCATGCAAACTTTTTTTCTCCCAGTTTTCTTTTCTCTTGCCTTGTTTTATTTTGTTTTGCTTTCTGTCAGCTTCTGGAAGACTGAGAATCAAGGATGTGTGAAGGGATCGTCCAATAACATGAAAGCAGAAACACAGCAAAGGGGTCAGTGAGTTTTGAGAGGACTGCTGTTGTATTCATGCATACTACTGGCATTCTTTCACATAAATAAAATATATTACGTTTATTTCTTTAATAAATAGCAACAATCTGTGGTTTGATTGCCCTTCCCCACCTCAGATCTTTGTTTTTCTGGTATCCAATGCTCATTTCCCCATCTGCTTTTTCTTATACTGTTTCTCTTTCCTAAATAACTGGCCTCCTTCTTCTCTATTTAATACTTCCATCAGTATAAATATCCCTTCTTTTATATTATTTTGCTAATGAATAATAATAATAAAAAAGAAATTGTGTATTGCTTTACAGGGTAACTTTTTTTTTTAATTTTCACATTTTTTTTCCTTTTTTATATTCACACTTTTATTATGCTTTAAGTACTCAACAATATCTTTCATCTTTTCTTTAAATTTATTATATATTTGTGCTTGTTAATGAAAATGTTTTAATTTTAATTTTATAATTGTTTCTAGTAGTATACAGGAAGATACTTTTTGTATATTAATCTTGTATCCTACAACTTTGTTAAGTCAATTTTGGTTTTAGTATGTGTCCTAGGATTTTCATTTTTCTTATTATTATT